CCCCGACCCAGCACTGAGGTCTACTGCCTCCTGCTACTCCAGAAAAAAAATGCAGGTGACAAATAGGTGAAAGCACCTGTGTGATTTGTACTGCTCCGGACCCCTCGCCCCCATGGGACAGCCCCTGTGTCCCCAGCTCAGGGCAGCTGTACCAAAATCAGTGCCATCGTGGCAAAACAGGGAGATTCAAAGGGCTCTGTTGCAGCCACTAACCTGCCCTCTGCACTTCACCTCCCCTCAGAATCTGTGTCTTAGCCCATTTATTTATTGCACCTCATTGGCAAAAAAGGAAAGACATCCCCTGGCCAGAGGGAAATGTCCCAACTAAAAAGCAAACAATGCAGTAAAACAGCAGCGCGTTCCTGAGAGCAGTGGTAAAAGCGGCCACCTCTTGTCCTCAATTTATGCCTCTCCCATCACCCTGGGCATTATATTTGTGCTGACAAGGATCAGTTTAACCCCTGCCTGCAATCTAATAAAAAGCTGCCGTGGTGGAAGCATGCATAATCCTTCTTCAGTGTCCTAGGAATGGACGCAATAAAAAACTTCTGCTGCTGCTGCTTGGTGGCCACAGCCGCTGCCTGGAATAAATAACTCCCTGCCCGATGCCGGCAGCGGGAAGTGCTTCGGACCACAGGCTTCTCAGACCCGCGTCCCTTTGCACTGCCACATCCCAGGGTGGGCAAATCATGTCAAAATAGATAAAAATGCCAGAATTGTTGTGTGGGTCAGACCAAAGTGTCTACAATAACTCAGGAGACCATGGCCTGTGGCAGGGGGCCAGCAAGCGCGTCCTCTCCTCCTCCTCCTCCTCCTCCTTCTCTCCCACAGCCTAATGCCCCAGAGCATCTGCGAGCGCAGCACGTGGCTGGTGGTGGTCACCCACCATCCCTCGGTATTTACTAGGGGCAAAACAAAATGAAAGTCCCAAAGGCTTTGCCATTGGTAAACAATGGGATCTTTCCCCCTCTCGTCATTAATTGACCGACTCAGTGCTGCAGAGCTGGCATTATGCTCCGCTACGCTTTGTAATGAAATCACTGCCTGTGCATAAGAAACAAATCTAATGATATGATACTAATAGGGTTAGAAATTTCCTGTGCAAATATTAATAATTTATAGCTACTTTCATTTTGTAATACTGCTTGTGCTCTGTAACAAGAAAATACTGAGATCTACCAGCCCCTCTCACCGATCTTGTCCGGGGAGGGTGCAGTCGTTATCAGGCTGGAGACAGACAGAGGCCCCCAGCACGATTGCACTGGAGGTGCAAATTAGCATTTGGAAATCATGTCCTGGCCTGTGACCATGTTTTGAAAAAGAGATGATGCTTAAAACATGAGCACTGCTTGCATGGCACCAACCAGCGACAGGAGATGGGCAGCAAGCTTTGGTGCTGCCCAGGCTGCACAGGCACCCCTGCAGCACCCACACCCAGAGCCAGGGCTGCTGATTGCCCCTGCAGCAACCCTTGGGTGAAATGAAGCTGTGGCCCAGTGGTTACAGATCACATCAGGCACCTATCTGCATTTTGAGGCAGCTGGCAGCAAAAGGAGCAACCTTTGGGCTGCGGAGCCAGAGGGATTTGGGCACTGCGGGGTGGGGGGGCGGGGGGAGGGGGGCATTTTGTTGCACAAATAAGGAGGGAATTGTGTTAAATGTCCTCTTCTGCAGCAGTAAAAAAGTGTCTTAAAGGAAGGGCTGTGACTGGGGACCTGAGGGGTTGAAAGAGAAGCTAATTCCCTCGGACAGGCATAATTGGTGCAATTCAGAATGCTAAAAATGTGAAATTAGGAATAATCAATGGCTGTTTATGATCTGTGTCTATACTGTGAATTCAGCTAATACGGAGTAATTACACTCCGCTAATTCCTGGTATTTGTCATCGTTCCGTTGCAGAGGAGTCCTGCAAAACAATGAAAACAGATTGGCTGCACTGGGCCTGAAGACTGGGGGCTTAGCACTGCACGAGCTAATTTCTCTTTTAATGGTAAAAGCAGTTATGATTTCCCATATTTATTTTTCTCTGCTAGTGGCGGCGCGGCAGATGCGCTACACAACAGCACCCCCAATAGCCGGCACTGCCGTGCTGCCGGGCAAGAGACGCCAGCACACCAAACCCCCTTGCCAGCCAAACACCACCCTGCTCTCGTGAAACGGGATTTTCACCTTTTTGTCCAATTTTGTGATACCGTCCCTCCTATCAAACTTCATCCTCGTGCATTTCTTCTTCCAGCCCATCTGGCACAAGGTAACCCTGCCAGCATTTCACCTGGGTGCTTGGGCTATGCTCCATCACGGGGACAGTGGTGAAACTTACGGGCTGGGTCGTCAGTTTGCTGGCCTGGTTCTCTCTTCAGTCAATGAAATCCTGCTGTTTACCAACCCATGTGAAAGTGGGAGAGGAGAGGTGCGTACCAGAGTGGGGTGGTTTACTGGTGGGCGCATTTCCCCGCAGTGGTGCAGGCGGGGAGGTGCCGACTGCGGGGGCAACCCTCACCCTCTGGCACGTAGTGTGCAGGGACTGCAGGTGGTGTTTAACACTAAATAAACAGAGAAGCAAAAGGCTGTTTCCTTTGAAAAGTGCTACGTTTAACACCTGCGGTTAGGTGTCTTGGACCGGCACAAGCACTCTGAAACCACGCAGCCCCCGCACTTCTCAGGACAAAGTTCACAAAGCAGCAGTGCCCAAACCTTTCCTAAGAAGAGCAGATCTTGTGATTACTTTAGCCCGGTGCGCACCTTGCAAAGCAGTACGTGCCTGCAGGCACTGTGGGGCCCTGGGGACAAGGGATCTTCAGGGGGGAGCCTCCCCCCAGTGCTGAGCTCTCATAGGAAACAGCCCCTCAGAGGGACAGTCCTGCAGCCGCTGGGATTTTTTGGCAGGAGCCACCAGCACCTCAACGCTCCCCACCACCCACTGAGGTCCTGCACAGGGTCCATGCAGCCAGCATTGGCACAAGGAGGGAGGAGGAGGAAGGGGGCGGGGGGGGCAGCTCCTCGCCCGCCAGCTCGCTCAGGCTAATCCTACCATGGTGCTCATCGCAGTGCAGTGACTTTGCACCATAGATTATTCATTCCCCAGCCTTACAGCTTTTTGATATCACATCTATTATTTTTTTCCTAATTTCTCTTTCTCTGTATCGTGCAGAAGCCTCCTGGGGGGAGCCTGCAGATGAGACTGATGTAATTCCTTTGCACTGCACAAGTTAATTATTTGCTGAGTTGAGACCAAGCTGATGCCCTGTTTCCTGCACTTGATGTATTCACTTATGTTATGTGTGATTTAAAAGCACCTTTCTGACATGTGCCACAGTGGATGGGCAAAACCTGAGCTACCACAGGACACGGGGACGGGACATGAGGGCTCCCTGCACCGGCACCAGTGCCTGGGTTGTGCCACAGCCACATCCCACGAGAAAAGTGCACAGTTCCCCATCCCTTCTTGTGGTTTCAGGGAAACATCTTGCATGAAATGTGCAATTGCAGAGAGCAGAAGCATTTCACGCAAGGTTTCTTCGTTGGAATGACGAGGCGCCCAGCCCCGCTGATGTTTTTTGCTTGTTTCCTCTGCAAGTGGCAGCAACGTCTCCATCTCCACAGAGGGCCCAGGAGGCCTCAGGTCCCTTGAAGCAGGAGGAGAAATTTGTCATGAAGCAGGCATCCCCCCGGGCACTACGAGCCCCGCGCCGTGGGCCAGCTCCTGCATGGGCGGGAAGCGGGGGGACGGAGCAGAGACGCATGGTGCGGCACGCCAGGGCTTGGGGCGCTTCGTTATTGAGCCAAGCCAGTTTTTGCCAGCAGCTAGGCAAACTAATAGGAAGGGTATTTCCCCGGGGAGGGAGGAGGTTTCTGATTTAGTCTGCGCTGTTTAAGCCCGGACTCTCACCACAGCTAAAATTTCCTTCTGAGGGCAATAATTATCCCAATGCAAAGCCCAGGCCTGTGTTTGCTTCCCTGTCTGGAAGGTTTGAGTGTAGAGGCTGTGATTTCCTCCAGTGCACAGCCCAGCACCCCCCCGCATCCTGCGTCCCTTGTCCAGCACTGGGGACCAGCGCTAGGGGGGAGGCAAAGAAAAGCTCAGTGTACAGAGCAGAGAGCACCCTCAGGTATTAAACTAATTACCAGGGAGCAGCAGCAGTCCCGCAGGGGCTCTGCTCCAGCCCTCCACAAGCTGCAGTCCTGCAGGCAGCCCTGCCACTGCCAGCCCTGCGTCTCCTCCTCTGGCTCTTGGATGAAAATTGCTTTAAAAGCTCCAAGAGAAGCCATTTGGTTCTTCTAAGTGATGGGAATAGAAAAGGAAAAAGGAATGGGAATGCTTTTGCTCTCAGCTGCCATGTAAATGAGGTTCAGCTTTGGAAAATGTATAGGGCCGCTAGTACTAACTGCAGCGCTGGAGTCTCCAAGGAGTGATTTCTTCCTTCAGAAGCACAATAATAACAATAAATGATTAAAAAGAAAAAGGCCTAAATCTATATCTACAGTTAACTCAGGACTCCTTTGGAGTTCAAGACTGTTGCCGGATAAATAAATGCTTATTTGAAAAAGGAACCTCCAGCCTCCTGCAAACACCAGGCAGTGAAGCAGCGCCCGGGGCCAGCCCGCACACGTGCAGCACAGCCAACGGGGGAAAACTTGCCAGATTGGGTTATTCTGGATTTATCCCACGTGGGATGACCCTAGTCCTGGCTTTGTGCCCTGTTGCAGCACCCTCCAGCAGCTGCGCTGCCCGATGTGCTGGCTTAGTGCAAATGCAGAGGGTCAGGCTGGTGCCCACCTTGGGAGAGGTTTTCTTCTTCTCATGTGGCAAAAAAACCAAGTGCCAAAGTAGAGAAAAACCTCCAAAGGAAACTCATGAGCTTACAGGCAAAGGAATGGCTTTTTTTACCTTCCCATGGGACAGCTCCTCCCAGCCGCTGCCGGTCATCGTGGCCCATGGGGCGGCACGCCGGGGTGCCCAGCCCCGTGCCGGACAGCAAGATAAGGCTTCAGAAGGTGCCATGAGTCACAGAGGGCTGGGCCAGGCCAGGCAGCCACACCGGCACGCTGCCAAGCAAGCACACTGCCTGCGGAGAGGGACAGCGTGCCGGGACGCTGAGCGGGAGGTAGGCTTGCCCCCTTCCCAGCCGCCTCCTGGAAATGGGGTTTCTGGAGCATAACTGAAATAGTGCCTTTCTGCAGCGTGTTTCTTTTGACTTGCTGGCAGGTTAGAGGGCAGCACAGGAAAGGTTTTAGTTGTTCTGCCTTTTTCTATGGTGGAGGTGTAGGGGAAACCCCATGCACTGGCATCCCTTCTGTGGGGTGCAGCTGTGCCGGTTTCATAGACAGAATTAATGAATTACCTGTGTTAACAGCAAGGGTTAAATCCATGTTTCAACCTATTACGGGATACGTGGTAGAATCAGCTGTGTGATGTGTGGTCCAGGTTAAACCCCTTTATCTGTCATGGCTTTGGATGAATTTTCAGAGTGTTGACTATGTAACACTCCAGCACATAACCCTGACTGCTGGGACACCTCCCTGCTGGTACCCAGGGCTTTGCTAGCCCCCCAGAAATGCATTTCAGGTCCTTACATGTGTGCAATTACCAGAAAACAGAGCCCTTTGCCACAGCTGCCCAGTGGCAGGACCACCGCATGGTCTGCACTTACCCTGTGCTTTATGCTCCAAGCAGCGCCTCTTCCCAGCAAACAGCTTGCTGCCAGCCCTGACCACCAACACTTGTGGTCTCCTCTTTTGCCCTGGGGTTTTGGCACGGGTCACTTTGGTACAAACTGCAACTCATGGCATGGGGGATGCCCACCGAGCTGCCAGCAGCCATGCCCACACCGGAGGGGATGTGATCACTCCCCTCCGCCTCTCACTGCTGCCACCGCTCTTGATTCACAGCTTGGGGACAGCTCACTGAACAGGCGAGCTCATCATGATTTAGCTTTGGGCTCAGTGACACGTACAGAGAACTGGACAAGCAGTCACCAATGACAAATAAAAGAATAAGAGACCGAATGGGTACCAGTCACAGATGGGCGATGTTCCTCTGGCAGCTGCAGGCAGACGAGTGCAGGATGGGGCTGTGCCTGCTCTGTATCATGCAGGGGGCAGGGATCCACCCACAGCAGGCACCAAAACTCATCTGTCCCCTTTGCATCGGCCCCACAGCCCGGCTTCCCTGGCAGCAGCTCCAGGTGCCGTGTCCCACTTGGCTGCAGTCCTGCTCCCAGCCAGGGCTCGGCCACTGCGGCTGGGCCCAGCCCTGCACCCCTGCCCGCCACCACATGCATCCTGTTTGGCTTCTGTTTCAGGATCAGAGCCTTGCCCCCGTTCACTATTGACTTGTGCTGGGGGCAGTTTTGCCCTAAGATGGCCTCTCCAGCTGTTCGGTGGGTGTAGCAGCTGGCCAAGCATTTTTATGAGCTGAGGAATTTATAAGCCCTCTCGCAAACAGTGCTCTCCCAGTGAGTAATGCAGCAAAGCTCAGTCGGATTGAATCCTTTCGGGACTGAAAAATGGTGTTGTAGCATCCTCCATTCTGCTGTGGTGGCACCAGCCCTGGACACACAGCAGATGTGCACCCGCCCCGCACCAGGCACCTTCTGTGCCCCTGCATTTAGTTTTGCAGGAAAACCCTGAATTTTGGAGGGGTGATTCTCTGGCTGTGGGCACGGGTGACATCCGGCAGCCACCCCCTTGGAGGCGCATCCCCATCCCACACCAAAATGATGTCTCGTTCATGGTCAGGGACCTGCTGGGGAAGAGAGAGACATGTGAGGCTCAAAAGCAGAAAAAATACCCCAAAACCAACAGTGCCAAAAGTTTCTGGGGAAGAGAAATGAAGTTTTCCTCCAGTGCTGGGAGGAAACAGGAACGTTCACCCGCTGCATCCTGGAAAACCTCCCTGTGAGGGCAGGGAGCTGCCCCACTTTCTTCTTGACAGCAGTAACTCAGCGCTGCCAAGCGGCACTGGAGCCCTGAGCAGGCTCGGGGTGGAGCCTTTGCCTTACAATGCCACAGAGCTCTTTAGCAATATTTGTCCAAGAACCTTTTTGTTCCTGGAATGGTTTTTAAGCAAATAAGTTTCAGGTTTATTAGACAAATAACTGTTTATCACCCACCACAGTTCCCTCCATTCTCCCTCGCCTGCAAGTCACTCTCTGGCAGATGCCAGAGTTCAGCCGCCTTCTTTTTTCCAGCACAGACTTAGCAAAAAAAAAAAAAAAATTAATCCGAACAATTAAAAGAGAATATAATGGAAATCCCAGGACAGGGCTACCCTCTTGTAATGCAATCAGGTTCCAGGAATTTCAGCACCCAGGGACTTCACCCAATAAAATTTACCTGAGATTAAGGTGATGATAAATAGCCCAAATAAATACATGACTTCCCTAAGGCGTTAGCGTTTATCGGTTTATTTTTCCATTTCTCTTCCTCTGCAACAAAATCAATACGTGCATAGAAAAAAACACAAATTTGGCAAGGGAGAGCACTGTGCAACAGGCCCTGGTGTCCCCTGCAGCTGTGGGGACCACATGAGGATGGGTTTGCAATCCCAGGGGAGTTTTGCTCCATTCGCTGTGTCCGAATCACAGCCCAGGTCCAAATCCTCAGCAGCACCAGGGTCTGCTCCTGGCGTTTGGAGGGGAACTCAACAGGTTCCAAAAGCAAATCAATACCAATTTCAAAGACTTCGCAACTTGCCAAAGTCTTTTAAGGGATTTTAATGACTGCTCTTCTGCTCCCATCACACCCGTCCCCTCATCAGGCACTGGGCTGGGGAGCCAGGCGTGGGAGAAGCTCCCTACGTTTAAAAAGAAAAACTTCATGCTGGAAGGACGAAAAGGCAAGAGCCTGGTGCTGTCCCACCAGATCCAGCTATGGGCAGCATTTGTCCTCCAAAACCTTTAAACTGTCCATTTGCAGCTCTTCCACCATCTCAGTGGAACAGGCTTGTTCGTGCCAGTTCCAACGGAAGGTTAAAACCTATTTCAGGGATACCATGCTGTGGGGCTGGGATGGGCCAGGTCAAGGTGGCATGGGGCAGAGCTGCAGGCGCTGGGGACCCCCGTGCCGCCTCCTGTGGAGACAGATTCCCACTCATGGTCACCTTCCTCCGGGAGGAATAGCAGCAGAGAGAAGTGAGATGCTGCTGGGAAGCAAATGTGCGTAGCTGATACCCTATCAAAACCACACTGCTGCGATACCGAGGGTACACAAATACCTCCCAAGGCTTCCTTCAAAATGCAGATAAGCCATGAGGCCACTCTCCCATGGGAAGCCCCTAGCTCTTCGGCAGCTGCTCCTTGCCGCAGCCTTGCCGCGGACACAGGTGCAGTGGGTGGGTAGCTGGAAGGTCGCTGCAGGGCTGATGCTCTGGCCAGGCACAGGCCACCCTGGCCGGCTGCAAACTCCCTTGGGGATCACAGGCCAAGCAGGAAAGCAGCAGCTTTCCTCCAGCAGTGCAGATTGGCTTCCTCCTTGTTTTTAAGGCTGCCTACCAAGCCCCATATGGTGATGCTGCAAGCTGCCCCAGGGGGATGCCAGGTCCATCCCACCAGGGTGCCAAGGGGGGATGCTGGGTCCATCCCACCCAGGGGGCCAAGGGAGGATGCTGCACCCGTTCCCATGGTCAATCACATGGCCATGGGCACTGTCCCTGAACTCAAGCCCTGGGAGGGGACCCAGAGCAGGGCTGGGCAGGAGACAAAGCTCTTCTCTGCTTCCTCATGACGCAACAGCCTGAAATCAGCTTTCAGCCCAGCCCTGCTACAATCCATTGCTCCTTATTTACCCTGCAAACAGGAAAAGCAACTCTCAGCTTAGCGCTTTCACAAATTTTCTACGTCAAGCTTCCCTAAAGGGCTGCTTTAGTTCACATTCGGCTCTTTAACTCTGACCACGCATCTCACAGGTGACAGTTTGCCTCAGGGCTCCAGGGTGGTTTCCAGGACGGATGTTCACCAGGCTGCCTCCCCGGATTTCAAAGGTAGGAGTGGGTCCCCAGCCCCAGGAACCCAGTGCATGGGATAGCATGTGCCCATCCCATCCAACAGGGCTGGCAGCGGGAGGGAGGAGGGCAGATGGACTTGCTCTAGTTTATGCTCTAAATTACAACCATTCCTCATTTGTGTGGCTGAAGACACTGCAGGATTTGGACAAGCGGAAACATTTCTATTCTTAAGTCAGGTGTCCCCAAACCTGGTTGCTCTGCCCAGCTTAGCAGCGCTGCACTTCTTCCCTTCCTTTCCCTTTCTGGTTTTAAGGAGGATGAGCTTGCTCCTGAGGACTGCTCTGACTGGGCAAGGCCAAATTGCAGCTTGTCCTCAGTGTTTTGCAGTCCCTAATATTTGAAACTTGCTTTGCATAATCCCAGAAGGAAATCAGAAGGAAATGCAGCAAAGCCGTGACTGAAAAAGTGCTCCTTGAGCTCATCACAATAGAAAAAGTGTGATCTGTTACTGAGAAAAGGATGTGAAACAGGAGCGCACGGGGCAGCAGACAGTCACAGTGAAGAGCTTAGAGGCTTAAAATGAAGCAAGCTCAACCAGTGCAGCCTGCTCCGACGTATGGGAGTCAGGACTTCAATATCAGGGTGGGACCGAGTACATGTGCCTGAAAAGAATTTATACATCTTCAGTGACCTCTTAGTTATTGCAAATACGCCTAAAGATAGCAAATATTTTTCTCATCTAGTATCTGCCTGGGTTTGGTGGGTTACAGGTATGCTTCATGGCATTTCCTTCTTGTTCCTCAGGGTGACTTGTGACCACTGATACCCCCTCAGTTGTGCTCTCTCTCCCCACCACCATGCGGGTGGCAGGTAAGGAGGGAGACAGAGATTTACTTTTCTCTGTCCATTTTTCTACAGTTCTTTATCGCTCCTTCTCATTTACACACCCACTTCCAAGCCCAGCTACCCGACCTTCCCCTGCCAGGGCCATGGGAAAGGGCTTTTGTATAAGCATCAGGTTTTTAAAAGATTTGTGTAGATTCCAGCCTGTTGTATTTTTCCCAGTGAAAGCCTCTGCGGCTGGGAAAAGATGGCTATTAGGCCATTCCTGGTTCCATAAGAGCCATTCAGCTGCAATAGAAGTATATTTTTCTACTCTCTTTCCATGCAGGACTGGTACGTTTTGCTCTGATGAGCACTGCTTTAGAGCCAAATGCCAATCACATTTGTATTAGCAGCTGCTCAGCTGTAGCTAGTGACTAATTGGGGGATAGCAGCCTTCCCAGCGCTGGGGATGTAAGAAATATTTGGATTTACATAGCTTTCTGACTAATTATCAGATTTACTTTAATGCAGAGAGAAATATGAGTAGTGCCTCCCAGTAGAAGGGTAATGCCTATCTGAGCATCGCCACACGCTCTAGAGATATTAATTAAGAGATCAGAGTCTTTTTAGAGGATGAAGAAAGGAGTGTTAGCTGCCTTCCCACACTACACAAGTGCTGGCTGTCACTGTGTGCCTTGGTCCTGGACACATGGACCAAGTCCCCAGGAAGCCAGAAGGATGCTCTGGTCCCCGAGCCATGCTGCTGCTGCTCTCACCTGACTCCTCTCCCACCCCTCGCAGCCATGATCCGGTACGCAGCACTACTCATCACGCTGCTGGGCACCTGGTTCATCATGCAGACGTACTTCGACCACAGATGGAAAGCCATCAGCCTGCGGAGCTGGCTTGGTGAGGCACCGGCAGGGCTCCAGCCGGGTGCGGAGGGAGGGTGCAGATGGCCCCCTTGCGAGCCAGACCCCAGAGCTGGATATAGTTGCCATGAACATTTGCACTTGCAGTCCCTGGCCAAGGCTATAGCCACCAGCTCTGATCATCAGGGCAGGGAGGGGACAGCATGGTGGGAAGCTGCGCCCAGGGCGGGTGGCTCCAGGGGGGTACCCACAGGTGTCACCGAGAAGTCCAGAAGTGAGTACTGCTCTCGACTTCATCTACATTGTGCAACTGCTCCGGGGCAGAGGGTGATGGTGGAAGCACGATAGCCGCCGTTGAGACCTCCTTTCCCAAGGCAAAATCCCACCCTCCCAAACTCAGTGGAATTTCATTATTGCACACAGCAGCAACGCCTTTGGCGGGCTCTGCAAGCCCACATGAGCCCCCTGCCCCAGCAGAAACACCGCTGGTCGCAGGCTACAGCAGGAAGCAGTTTGCAGCCCCCATCCAGGCAGTGCACCACAGGTCTCTACCCTGGCCAAGAACGGGGAAGCTCCAGGCAGAAAAGTCGCAAGGGCCCGGCCTTGAACCAGTGCCAGCTCCGAACGTTCCCTGGCACACCCCCCTCTGCAGTCCCCGTGGCACCAGCCGTGCTGTCCTGCAGCTCACACCCAGAGCAGCACCCAGCACCCCAGCCAGTTCGTCCCACCCCACCCCAAGCTTCTGCACCATAAACCTTGAACAAGAAGCTGGTCCAAGTCCCAGGACCAGCCTCCTTCAGGCAAGAAGCTGGTCCAGGTGTTGCCCCCTTAGTGGGCCACTGTGCCCCAGTGACAGCCCTGCTCAGCCCCTGGGGGACACAGCTGGTGTCCCTCCGCAGGGCCAACACCATGGCTTGCAGCTCCGCTCCTCCCTCGCAGGCAAGCAGCTGCCCCGGCACAAGTGTGGGAACCAGAAGAGCTGCCCCCAGAACCATTTCGCCTTCAAGATCATCAGCGGTGCAGCAAACGTGGTGGGACCCTACATCTGCTTCAACGACGTGGTGTAAGCAGCACACAGGGGGGGCATGGGGCAGCCGCAGCTTGAATGGGGCGAGTTTGGCCTCTGCTGAGCACAACAGCAGCCATCACAGTGCATCTGTGATTAAAAAAATTTGGAAATAGTTTTCTTTGCTACAGCTTCTGGGGGTATTTTGCTGTCTGCAGTGTTGCCCCATTACACTGTTTCACTGGCACCAGCCTCTCCAGGGCATCCCTGCACTGACTGGTGCTCTCTGCTTTTCTTTCCAGCCTCATGAGTAGCATGAAAAACAACATTGGCAGAGGCCTGAACATCGCACTGGTGAACGGTGAGTTGGGTGGGCATTAACCACCTCCCCACAGCAAGGTCCCTTTCCCCCCTTGGAAGGACACAGGCCAGCAGGGACCCCATTCCAGGCACCACAGCTGACCCAAAAGTGCATTGGTCCAGTCTTACATGGGGTGCACAGCCACAGTCATGGTTGCAAGCACCACCAGGGAGATGGAAACAAACCCACCCGGGTCACGCAACGCACGATGGCTCCATGAACTCCAGTGAGCGATGCATTCGCCGTCACAGCAAATATGACACACTGAGGGAAGAGCAAAGCAGTTTGCAGCAGCAGGAACCCCAAGCTGGTGGCCAGGCAAAGCCTAGAGCCACCCCAGTGTAAACTCACTGTGCTCTGTTTTGAATTTTAACCTTCCAGGCACAAGTGGGCAGCTCCTGAAAGTGGGCACGTTCGACATGTACTCCGGAGGTAAGCATGGTCACTTTGCTGCCTGGTGGTTCCCAAACCAGGGCTCACCCCAGCACTGCTGGCTGCCAGGTTTTTAGGCTGCTCCTCTGTCATGTATTTAACAATAAAGTCTAGAGGACTTTGACCAGAATTGCCAGCTTGGGTGGTAAAAGTTCGACTTTGCCTGAGGCCACTGAGCCTGGAGTCCCCGTAATGCATTCACATCCAGAGTGGCTTCTTGCTTCTTTTGCATGCAATAGCCTTAAAAACAATTCCACTAAACTGAATAAACCAGGGTATTCGAGACCTGAGAAAGGCTGCTTCCTGAGATCGGGTAGTTACGCTAATCCTGAGATTTTGCAGCTTTCAACTCAGTTTTTGAATGCTGGTGGTGGCTGAGCAGCAGCTTGTCCCCCTGCCTTTTGCAGGAGGGTAAATGAGGAGCTCAGGGCATGGGGAATGGAGCGTGGTGACAGCCTGCTTCAAACAATCTTCCTAACAGCAAGAAGATGCCCCAAGCTGGGGCGGCACCCGCTCACACACAGCCTAGCTGGCTCTGGCTTGCAGGATGCTATCAATCCCACCGTTGTTGCAAAGCTGTTACCAAACTCTCCAAAGTTTTGGTGGGAATCTTCAAAATCACATGCTAAAAACACCCCTGTAGTGCTTTTGATTTACCCTTTGCTGTTTGAGCCTTCCCCAGGGATCAATGACCCTTTCTGCTTTTTGGTTTTGCAACCTATTCTTGGTAACTCTGGAGTTTTAAGGAGAAACACTGATAGTATGAGATTTCCAAGTTCAGAAGCGAGAGGCAAGGTGGGAGAGGCACCGGGAAGGAGAGAGCAGTCAGCTCCTGTGCCACTAGATGGGGCATTGGACTCGAGCATCCCACAGATGTGGGATGAGGAATTATTCCTGCACCACAGCCGAAGGCAGGATCGCAAGGCAGGCAGCTCTGCGGCCGAGCAGGCTCCTTTCTGGTGTTGGGAAGTAAATTCACATAACGAGATTTCACAGTTAGTGAGCAAACTTTAGATGCAAATTCCCTCCTGCCAGTGTTGTACCGGCAGGAGGACAACACCAGCACTGGGCACTGTGGGAGAGCGCAGGTGGGAACACAAGATGGGGAATGCAGCATCTGGGAGCCCGTCCTTCCTCAAGCCCCTGACCCTGAATCTTAGCTAGCACCGGCACCAGCAGGATACTTCCCACCAACCCAGAGGACGTTCCCCCTGTTGCCATCCAGCTGCTAAATCCCTTTTTTTCCCCCTAATGCTCTTCTCTCCCAGACATTACCGAACTGGATACCTTCCTCCAAGGGATCAAGCACGGCACCATCGTGCTGATGGCCAGCTACGATGATGCTGCCACAAAGTGAGTTTGGCCCTGGGAACGATGCCTGGCTCCCCAAAAACCAGCAGCTGGGGGGAGCTGGAGGTGCTGCTGCCAGCAGAGACAGGACAAGAGGGGACACCCACCTGGCACCACACGAACACCTTCTTACTCTCTTTCAGGATGACCGACAAATTACGGGCACAGTTCATGGAGCTGGGCAGCAGCCATGTGAGCAAGCTGGGTTTCCGGGACAACTGGGTCTTCTTGGGAGCAAAAGGGCTGAAGAACAAAAGCCCCTTTGAACAGGTACGTGGCTCTCCCTGCCACCAGCTCTGGAGGCCCCCATCCTCTTCATAGCACCTCCTGAGCTACATCTCACCTACCTGTCTGTAGAAGACACGGACCAGTGGTGTTATCCCCCACGCCGAGCCAAGCTGCAAGATTTGCCACATTGCAAACTTGCCACCAACCTCAGATTCTCTCTCTTTTTTCCTGCAGCACATCAAAAATGATAAGAATACAAATAAATACGATGGCTGGCCTGAGGTGCTGGAGATGCAGGGCTGTGCCCCCAGGAAGATGGATTAGCACCAAACCCCAGCCTGCCAAGGAGGCGAGACCAGTCTCACCAGGACACCAGCCCCATTGCGGGGACCCCAGCCCCATCACACTGATGCCAGCCCCCCCACCGCCCGCTCCCACAGCCCAGCAGCAGCTGCCTGCTCCCAGGACCGGCCGTTTCACAGCAGGGGCTGCACGGAGCTTGGAAAGGGCTGCACAAGTGCCTGCAGCGCCTGAGCAAACGCCCAGCCAGGTTTCAGTCAAGCTGTCCTTGTCTATGGGTCAATTTGGGGTATTTTATTTTTCTGTCTTTAAACCAAAAACTTTGTAGAAGGTTTTTCAGATTTCCTGAATAAGATATCTAATGATAAAACACTACCGTCTCCCTTTATTTTCAAGCACAATCCATGCTTTTCCTTGCAGGCACAGCATTGCCATGTCCTCTGCCACCAGCTGGGCATCACCATCACCCATCCCACAGCGCTGCACACGGATGCTCCCACACACGTGGCACAGGGCAAAGTCATCCCTGGGGACGCTCAGGCCTTGATGGTTCATGCCCAGAGCTTCTGCCAAGCCCCTGCTGTCTCCTACAGCCACAGTAAGGCCAGATGGCCACAGGGATTCCTTGCAGCAATGTAGGTTAATATTTGCAGACCGAAGCATTTCCCCCACCCAGTTGCATCTTTCCTGGGTTAAATCCAAGCTAAATCCTCCGTGGTATATCGCTATCAAAAGTCAGGATAATGCCAGCGAGGTGCCAACCCATCTCTGCCCGGCAAAGAGGGAGGGGTGGATGTGCAAGTTTCTCAGCCAGCTGAAGTTGTGCAGCATAACCAATAGGTGGGAGCCTTTTACTGGGAGAACCAGAGCCAGTATCAGCCTGGAGCGATACAAGACACCCGGGCTGGCACCCCGCTGCGGGCACCTCCACACCTGCTTTTCTCCAGGAGCTGCACCCCGACGCAGGGCTGGCTGACACCACCGGGAAAGGAGAGATCCCTGCCCGAACACAGGCTGGCAAAGTCCTGCAGAGCTCCTTCCAGGGGGGTTCCCATGCTGCTGCCCAGGGATGAGGAGGTCCTGGGGGAGCATCTGCCCCCTGTTCATGTCCGGGTGCCTTCACCCAAGCACCACCTGTACCCAAAACCTCCCTGAGAGTCAGCAGAGCTGAGATCAGATAAGCTGCGTGAGTGATGGCCTGGGCTTATCTGTCATCGTGGACACGGATAAATTTGCATCATATACAGACTTTAATTTCCTATGATTGTATCTGGTTTTCCCTCATTCTTTCAAGCAGACCAGCAGTTCCGCAGAACGTGAGGGTGGAGCGTTTCCGCTGGAGCACTTGGAGCAGTGCAGGGTAACACAAGGCAATCCTGGACAGACTTTTCTGCCTCTAACATCAGGGTTTGCCCCAGCACAGCTTCTACAGGCAGTTGGCATTGATTATCTGAGCCCACCGGGGAGCAGAAGTGAGGAGCATTGGCAGGATAAGGCCAGGAAGAGACACAGCCTGTCCTGCACCGGCCACCTTAGGGATGAAACCCTCGATCCAAAACCCAGCACCACCATCCAAATCCAGTGAGGCAACTGGTCTGCCCTAAGCCAGGAAAAATCCCCCCAAAAAATGTGTAATACTTGTAAGAACTTCCAAAGGCAAAACTGAAATAAAACCCCCGAGCAGCTATCACAGAGGAATTCCCCAACAGCTGTAGTATTTTATCCAAGCTTAACCTCCTGTGCTCTTAACGTGCACCTGACTGCACCAAAGGAAGCCTCTGCCATAAATCGATCCCTAAATCTGCTGCAGCAGCAGCGGTTAATCCCAAGCGCTGAATCATCCCTACCCGCGACAGCAGCAAGAAATAACACAATGCAACAGCCACAACAGCGCTCACATCTCACAGCCCTGCCATGCTGCCAGCATAAATATGCCAACTATTTTAAGCCCCCTCAAAGGATCTAGATTCGCTCGTAAGCCAAACTGCAAGCAGCCTAAGAACTGTAAAGGCAGCTGCCTGGGGTAAAGCAGCGCACAGCACCAGCTACAGCCCAGAAAACAACCAGCCCCTTTCAGCCGCAGGAAACTCTTCCTAGCCCTGTGCAATGCACATTAGAAATCTGGTTTAAAGCCAAGATAAAGGAAATTTATTTTTCAGCATGCTACAGACGGTTAAATCTAGCTCTGAATCTATCACTGAGCAGTTACTAAGGTACACCACTGTTTTCAATAAATAGGGAGAGCTGAAAGTGCATCTCCTGTGCAGGGACCTTAATCATCAGCCGGCGTTTTGCAGAGCCATTCCTGCCAAAGTCACCGTGTCCAGTAAATAAATCTGAGCTTTTCAAAAGTCCAGAATCTGGAAGGCAGGGGTATAAATATGGCTTCAGGAGTCGAATTTAACTTGCTCATTTTTTAAAAAGATCTGAAAAGGGTGGTGAGTGCAGGAACAGCAATCCCCAAATGATGTTTTTAAGTGCCTTGGCATTTTGAAAGCTGTATTACTGCAGAGACAGGCACCTACCTGGCTGGTTTTCACGGTGCCGCATCCCCCAGAGACTTCGGTAAGCACAAGCCCTGAGCTGCCCAGCCTCCCAGGACGCAGCTCCAGGTAACCTGGGCTCACCCAGGGGCCATGGTGGGCTCCAGTAGCAAACAGGCAGCCTGGGGCATTCGCAGGAGCAAAGTTTGCAAAATCCAGTGCTGCAACAGGATCCAAGAGCCAGGATGGAGGCTGGTAGCAGAGGCATAATCCTGCCTTATTTTTGGGGTACGGACTTGTTTCATCAAAGCACCAAAGCAGCAGTAGGAAGAATGCCACAGGCAAGGACCGATGGGTGCCGGGGCCCCGCAGCCAGGCGAATCCGCGTCCTGTGACATCTTGCCCTGTCAAGTACAATTACTGTAATCTTCCACAGCCTCTCAAAATACGGATCCCAGCTTAGAAACCGGGCATCCGCAGCATGAAAGCTGCCTTTGTGCCTGGGCAGAGCCTGGGTGCGAGCCAGCCATTAGGTGCACGAAGAAAATGAGTTCTCCATGTGCTGGGAGAAGGGAGGAAAAGCAAGCTTTCCCACCCAGCCCTGCTGCAGACAGGCTGGATTTCACCCGTGTCTTCCCACCGCAACCACCGAGGGGACAGGAGCTGCACAGTTGCACATCCCCCTGGGAGTAACGGGGCTGGTGACCACAGGGAACCGGCTGGTCCCACAGCCCGGGTGAGCAGGGCACAGCCAACACATCGGACCATGGGGGCAGCTCACGGGAAAAAGGTAACGGGGCAGTTTTATTCGGGACTGCTGAAGCGGTGGCGGGATGATGGAGAAGGCACCATCTGCTCACGTGTTGCTTGTTTTGCTCGGCGTGTGCTAAGGCAGCTGATGGCAGCGAGGGATTAAAGGGAAGGGACCCGCTCCTAGGCGTGGGTGGCATTTATCAGGGCTGGATTAAGTAATTCCACCTGATGGGCTCAGCATGGGGGCCTGCCAGGGCTTTCAGGACAGCAAGGAGGAGATTGGAGCATTGCATTAGGACAGGCAAAGTTTGGCTTTCTGGGGAGGAACATCAAACTTGCTCCAAACACATCTGGCATCCTGTGGGCTGTCTCCCGCAGACGCCATGCAGAGCAAGCCCCAAGTATTTCTCAGCTGGTGAATTGCTACCAGCTCCCTCCTGGGACAGAGAGGAGCCAGGCCAGGTCCCACAGCACCCACATGCATCTCCCTCTCCTTCAAACCCCCCAGGGAGAGCACCCAAACAGCTCAAAAAGAAACAGGGCTTTACAAAGTCAGAGCCACATGGAGGCAGCTAGAATGGTTGTTCCGAGGATGCCATTAGGTGTCATTTTGCTTTCATGTCTGATGACATCAGTGTCTAGAGATGCATCACTATTCAGTTGTGATGCCCTGATCCGGCATTAGGCTTCTGGAGCTTGTCTCCCAGCTCCAAGAGAAATGCACTTGGTGCACCACACCAGGTCAGTAACTTCTATTTCAGTGGGGACAGCAGCAACCCTTTGCCTCAGGAGGGACCCTGCATGCTCAGCTGAGCATGGTCTGTGGCCTCCAGAGGTGTGGGCACATCCAAACCAGGTGCCTTGCACAAATTTGCAAACCTGATGAGCTTTCTTCCAAAACCAGAGCTAGGCTCTGTTGCAGGGGAAACATGCAGAAAACCAGCGTTACCAACACCCAGGAGGAAAATCAGTGCTGATGTGGGACAAGCAAACATTTGTCTATTTTCCTGGACCTCAGAGAGGTGCCAGGTACAGGAGGTGCTGCTCCCAGCCAGCCCTCTGCTTCTCCAGCACCCATCTGAGGTGCCGATGCCACGCTGGCTAGAGCACGCTGGGGAGCCACGGCCACTCCCAGGGCTCAGGGCTACGATGGGAGCCCTACCTGGGAGGAGCCACACTCTGCCCACAGCTGATCCAGACCTCTGCTCACAAGGCCATTACCTTCAGGCCTTGGCACATTTGTACGGGCATTACTGAAAGCAGGGAAATAAGCTGGTTAGGTCAGGCTTGGCTCAGTGCCACCCAGTTCAGCCCTGCTGCATTCAAAGTGATCTATGCCGGCCTCCCAACACCCAGACTGGACAGCTTTTGGATGGCTTTCCCCATCACTCCCTCTTTCCAAAACACCATGATCCCACTACAGCCTGGCACTGAATGGCCTGGCTTTGAAACGCTCCCGGGAACTCAGGCTCTCCCATCACACCAGCTCACCCTCAGCTTGCTGGCAGCCCCAAAAGCTCTGAGACATTCATGGGCACCAAAAGGTCAGAGATCTCACTCCTGTTTCAGCCTCCTGAACATTGTCCCAGTTGACAAAAGCCTGTGCCACCGCATGGCTAGCATCAAGTGGGGACATCTGTGGCGGCTCCTGCGTTGGTGCTTTACCCTTAGGCTGAAGCTGATGGGGGATGGGAAAAAAAAAAAAAAGCTCCTTCTGCTGCATTTCCAGGGTGGGCATGAACAGCAGACTCCAGCCCTCCCCAAGGACCAGGGTGGGTCCAAATGACG